CCAGAGGAAGACAGTGGCAAATCACCTCTGCTAATTTCTTGTGCTGAAAACCCAGTTGGTCCTGGGGTCACCATGAGTCAATTGCAACTTGATGACGCACAATTATTAATATTTATTAGAGCAAGATCTGATTTACTGTACGTATTTTGACTTAATGTTTAAGGAACAAATTAAAAAAATGTCCACTTTACATCTGAACAGAAAAAGTATTGTTTAAATGTTGCATGTAGTAGAAATGCAAACACCTGGCTATTCATGGTACAAGTGTTTCTTGAGAGAATGAATGAGAGTATAATAAAAATAAAGGGTATGTTGGATCCTGCATCATGTTGAGATACAGAGGATGGCTGAGGTCTTTGGGGTGGTAGTCACTACCACCACCACCCCACACACACAGGAGGCATTTCTTGTCCAAAGAAGCTCACCTGGCCAGCTTACTCCAGGTGTTTCAGGAAGAGGATCAAGTTTGTATTCAAAGGCCATTGCTCTGGCCAAAAGAATCAACAAGTTACTTAGTAGTTATTATAAATGCATGTTATGTTCTGTTGTAACTAGAAAGAAATTGTTGGTTTTATTGCTGTTGTTGTACTATCCTTGTGGTAAACAGTTTCAGGAGTTTTACCTGGGAAACTGACAAATCCCAGAAATAAGTAAACAGCATTATGCAAGCCTGGTTTGTTTTTTGTTCCTCCATCTGCACAAAAGCTTCCTCAAGACTGCCGTGAAAGTGCCTTTCAGTCCTGCATGTGATTAGTCCTGCTTCCTTTTGTTTCCTGCTAGTAGTTCATTCAGACACCATAAATCCAAAAGCCTGGTGTGCATTTTATCTGCTAGCGCACTTGCTTTTCCATTCTTGCTATTCCCAAAAGGATGCGCTTTTAAATGTGCAAGCAACACCATTAGCCTCCATGTCAAGTCACAGTATCACAAATGCATTTTATCAAAGGAGAGTGATTTTTTTTGTAAGTGCTATTTCTGAATAAGCATCAACAGATGTCTGCTTTGTCCATTGTGGAACGGCCACCATCCCTTAGCTGGGTGACACCCTGTTTTAATGTTTTGAGTTAAACCTGGTCTGCTTCATCTGTTGGGAGTATGTGAGGGGACAATATTCAGTTGTAGGTTCTATAGGAACTGCGGGCTTATGTTTTGTGGACAGCGCCTACTTATGAAATCAATGAATTAGAACATAGTCTCTGAAGAAGAACAGTTTATTTATTTTTTTTAAGTACCCATAGGTACACTTTTATTAATTTTTCTTTTATAATCTACAACAAACAAATCTACACACTACAAACAGACACTCTACTACACATAACATGTATACCAAGAGTACAGTTACATTATATGCTTATATCCAATTACTTAATTAATAGAAACGCTCTATCACTTTCCATTCTTCTGTTTTCTGTGTTCTCAAGTCCATTGTGCCTAATCTTCTATTGTACTTACATTATACCAATCATAAAACGTTTTCCATGTTTTTTGAAATGTCCACTCTTTGCTTAATCTCATTTCTAAAGTCAGTTTATCATTTTCTGCTGTTTCAAAAAGTTTATTCACAAACTCCTGTTTCGTTGGTATCACCATAGTTTTCCAATATTTGGCATATAAAATTATTGCTGCTGTCGTCATATAAACAGTCAAATACCTATTCTCTTTTTCATAAT